TTTTTTTTTCTTGCAATTCTAGGTTATCTACGTCTACTACAAATGTTTTTGAAGAATTGCGTACTTTCGGTCTCGTTGTTGGTGCTCCCAGTGAACCGCTTCCCGTGAAGGAGCAGGTAGCCTCGTCTGCATATCGATATTTGCTATCGTCTCTCGAAATTTCCAAGTGTTTCAGCCCATTTTACTCGATTTGTTGACGTTCTCATATATGCCTCCCTCAAAAATGGAGAAACTTATCCCTTCACACGTTGTAACTATGTACACAGTTGTATTTCGCGTCTGTCTTCAGTTGCATGCGGCCATCGATTGCTTATCTGATGCGTCTGTATTTACATATCCTTCCAATGTTTTGATAAAGAGCATAACAGTCCCATTCTTTCAGGATGTTTGAGATCGGTTTGATGAGGGATCGAGCAAATCTCCAGCGTGCTGCTGTACTAACGTCTCTACATCGCAATGTTCTTGATTTGACGGTCAGCATAGCAGATGCAGTCAGCCGCGCAATAATGGATTTTGAAAATCAAATGGTTAAGGTGCATTTTGAATTTCAGTATCTATTTTCTTACCTAGTCGTGGAACAATTACGCTTTGCTTGTTTTATGCCTATGCTTATGGTATAAATGCACACAACACATCAAATCTAAAAGCGAGATGAAAATATTGAACCTTGCTGTCAATCACTCCATGCTTTCTGACCTCATACGCTTTGAATTTTGATTTGTTGTCAAATATATACTGGAACAGATGTTGAGTGATCCGTTTAGGCAGATAGTATTGATGCAGTGCTCCAACTCCAGAAAGACGTCGTGTATCAGATATTCAAGGTTTGTTCAATTTTTATTTGTAACTGATCGTGTATTAAAATGTATTCATTGTGGAAAATTTCATATTGTTTTCAAAAGTTGCAAGATCTTCTGAATACATCTTTCCTTTTGAAACGTTTTTTTCTTCAGTTTCTAGAAATTTGATTGGAAACTAAGTGCTTCACTTTTATGTTACCAAATCACATGGTTGGACTCATTTCTTACTAGTGTCAGAGTCCAATGTTAAACCTTCGATCTATATACAGGAAAGTCGACTAGATCAATGGAAAAAGGTCGCATATCTACAACGCTTGGTGGACCTCATCTCCACGCATGGTCTCAATGGACTCATGGTATCTTTCATGACTTTTTCCTACAATTTCTTTAACAGTTTGTTTTCCTTTTAGTACTCCACGTCGCTGAGCGAGGATTACTACGTAATACTGGAAGATGTGGAGTCCATGCAACTTATTGAATAGATTCTCAATTATTTGTGCATCTTCTATTTTCTACATGTTTTTGAACGGGTTTATGCATTTTCACTTCATGCATTTTTTGAATGAAAAATAAAACGAAGAGTCATGTTTCAT